TTTGAACGGTAGTGTATGTTACAGATCATATTGGTATACTAATATTTAACTTAAAGTAACCTCAGATCTTAAATATTGATAGAGAATTCTAAGGAAGTCAATCCACACCCACATATGCAACCGTTGCCCCATAGACGTCCATTAGATGTCAAGGTGTTTTTAACTGTCAAGCCTGTTTTACAAACTGTCAAACTTCTCTTTTGCAATAACTCACAATGAGCTTTTTATCTTTGAGCAAACATAATTCTTACATTTCATTTATTTACATAAAGTATGTGTTAATGCGGTGTTGTTGTTTTTTTTTAAATAAAAATATTATTTTATTCATCTATTTACATGAAGTATACATTTTTATTTAAATGTAAATTGTTTACTTGAAAACATTCTTTAAATAAATATTTGTATTATTTTTAAATTTATCTTAAATTAATATTAGTATGCATATTTCACTTTATTTGGGCATAAACATTTCTGATATTAACATTTCGCAATTTTACAAAACCCCTTGCAGCCATACCTTGGTTGGAAATTCCTGCCATAGGATATTTCCTGCTCTATGAATTGCAGAATAACACATTTCTTTTATGATGGTGCAGGGTTAGATGATTAAACAGCAGGTATGGGCTGCGCTCAAGGGCTTGTCTGATTGTAATCTTTTGTGTTTTGACAGTTGTACAGTCTGATGAGGAGATGCTGGGAGGCGACACCTGAAAAACGGATCGACTTCAAAGGCCTGATTACCGACTTTCAGCAGATGATTGACAGTCAGTAACTATGGAAATAAGATGGGACAGACTCCACTTCTTATGCAAGAGGCAGTCCCAGAGAGACAAAATCCCCCACATCCCAAGAAAAAAAAAAAAAAAAAGTATAAATGTGCAGTGTAGCACTCTTTCAATATACTCTTTTCTCTCACATTATGACCTCATAAACTGCAGACCTTTCGAAATAGCCAAAAAGACACCGCTAGAACCACTGAATCAGACAGTAGATACTGTCAGGCCTCTCTTTAAATATGCAAATATGTAACTGCCAACCTCGAGCCGCTCATTTTTCTCTTCAAGTTCAAATGCAGACTGGTGCAAAAAAGGAAAGTGAATCAGGAATTTTGACTCGTGAGACTCCGCTTCATATTGTGCCTCAGTGTCACAGCAGCCACCATGATGCATGTATGAATAACCCATTATTAGGTGCATTACAGCATGCGCTGTATGGATTCTGCCCATCGTGAGTTGTATGCAACGACAGAGACTGAACCCCGTTACGATAAAAGAGGAAGACGAGGAACGTGTCAGGATGTAGATTTACACGTATGGTCCACAGTTTGGAGCTTTGATGAGTGGATTATGCCCCTTCTCATAAGACGTGCAAAGTATGTTAAGCGCTCAAAGACTGAGTTTGTCAGACTTGGGGCGGACAGCTGTCCTCCTTGGAAAATTCCAAACGTGCTGGATTACCGGAAAACTTTGAAATAGCATGCACCGGTCAAGATGCACTATGCTGTCACATTCTAATAACTGTACTTCCTCTCTGCGCTTCACATTTGCCACGGAAAACTGAAGAAGATGATTCTGAGAAGAGCATGTTATTTTGGCAAGGAGAACATGGGTTTAATGAAATGTCTAAAATGGGCACTAGGGGGCAGTAGAGCTTATGAAATATCTAAAAGAAAACTATTCAGTTTATGTTGTGCAAATTATATTCCAGGCTCCGCTATCTTTCAGAAAGTTAATTAACTGTCTGAAGAATCCTAGTATTTTATCTGTTCTTTTTTTTTTTATATCAAAATGGAATTAAAAGGTGATTAACAAAAGTGCAACATCTTTCTATCGGAGGTATTTTGTCATTGTCTAAAAGATGGATGCTGACAGTAAAGAGAAGGATCAGGGTGTGAACGTTGAAATTAGTTTAGCGTCTTAAAGTGCTTAAAAGCCTTAGCTGTTATTCATATAACTAAACGAAGACTAAATATTCAAAGACGCCCTAATTCCCATCTGATTATCAGATTATGGTTAATCCTCGCACATGGTTCCTGTAAAGGGAAAATGATTCATCTCACATGTGGTTTTGCACTGAAGGAATTGTGAAATGCACGTCGCTGCGTTCAAATCTACACCTCCATGGTGGCCACAATGGAGTTGAGAATGGTCGAAGGAAAAAGGCGATGAGAGACACAATTTTCCTGTCCTTTAATGTGGAATGCAAAACAATTCCATCTGTTCAAAATGAAACCCAAACCGATTTTCCTCAACAACAAAAAAATTACAACAAACTTGTATCCAACAGGGTAAAATGTACATAAATACACATAAAATAAAGACAGTATTTTTTTTTGCTGTTAAATACTCAAAAGCATTGAAAACATCTACTGAAAAAAAGAGGGAAAAGTTTATTTCTTGTATTGCAGGAGTATAGGCATGCTTAAATTCCACTGTTCCTAAAAATAGCTTATTCACAGTAAAGCAATATCAATAGAGTTTGGATTATAAAATATTGCAAAATCTCAATTCAAGGTGGAAAAAAAAAAGAAACTACAACCTTTTAAACTAAAAACAGGCTGCGATATGTGTACAAAGCACACGAGTGTTGATAACCCTGCGTGTTTGAACAGGCAAATGTACCTTCTACATCAAGAGACACTTTCAGTATTGCAAAGCTTTGAGATTCAAGCGCACATGTACATGTTTATTATATTCAGAGGGATAAAAGTGACCTTGCAATGAGCAGAATTGGAAAAATACATTACAGGCTTGACTTGAAATACGAGGGGAACATCAGTATGTGTTGACCATCAGCAAAAATGGTAAGAAATACAAGGTTCATAAATGCAAAATAGGCACAATTTTCCATCCTTCACCTTTCTATAGAAACAAGAACACTTTAAAGAGATTATTTACTTTAGTAACTCGACCCGCTCTCTTCAAGGTAAAAAAGTCACTCGCCTTGATTTGGAGCAGTGGTACGGCTGGAGAACAGGAGACTCATGGGAAGGTGACCAGAAATACATGTGCTTTATAATCCCTGTGGCGTGTCATTTTGCAACAAATCCCATTTCTGATTATCTAGAAACAAGCAGCACGAGTCAAACTGAACTTGAGCACACAGAACAAGGGGTAAACTAAAAATCCTCACATTATTCTTAAGCATTTCTAGTGTTTCCTGAAAAAAAAAAAGGCCTCTGTGTTTATAAATGGTGGTTTTGTGCTGAAAGTGGGACTCAGAGCCTCAGGTACCGATGTAAATTTGGGATTGTCTTTATACTTGTCATAACATAAATAGGACGCGATAACAGAGGCTCCTCCTCAAATGTGTTGTCAGTCTGTTGTGGAGGTGAGAGAATGGCTTTCAGTGAAAGAACAACCAAGAGACAATCACTTCAAAAGAGTAGAAAAAAGAAGGCATAGAGCCTTAAACATAAACGGCTGAACGCGCCAGGCAAACGCCTGTATGTGCTATGTGGTAGCAAAGCCAAACAACAGCTCCTTTTAAGACGATCTGCTGGCAGACTGCATCCAACCAGTAATCAACAGTGTACTGCAAAAAAATCCAATTCGTAATGAGTATCTGTCTTACTCGCCACTAGTAATATCTAAACATGCTTAAAACAAGCTCAGTGCAAAGTAAAAGGGATAGTTCGTCCAAAAATGAAAATGCTGTCATCATTTACTCGCCCCTGTGTTGTTACAAACCTAATTATGCCATTTTAAAGAATTCACTTTTTTTTCTATACCATAAAAGTCAATGGGTCCAAAAAAAATTAGACCTCACTGACTTTGTATAGAGAAGTGTTGTTACCGTTAACTAAAACTAAACTTAAAACTATTAATGTTTTCATTAAAATAAAGCTGAAATAAAATTTAATTATTGGATGAAAAACTTAAAACTTATAATTGAAAATTATATTAGACATGCCAAAGTTGAAGTACTAGAATTGCTAAAACAAACAGAAAAATAAAGCTATATATATATACACATACACGCACACACAGTCTATATACATAATGGGGGGTATGGGGGACATAAAAAATAAAAAAATAAAAATATATATATCTTCTGTTGGGTTCCACAGGTTTGGAACAACTTGAGGATGAGTAAATAAAAACAGTATTTTCATATTTTAGTGAACTATCCCTCTAAGACTTTATTTGTCCCATTAGGAGATTTATGCCACTTGTTTTAAGTTTCCAAAATAAGACAAAAAATTAACTATTCTACCACGCAACATGACAAAATACTAATCTTCAACATAGATTATTTTAATATCTCACATATTTTGCCTCTCAAGTATATTTATCTTTTTAAACATATATTTTAGCAAAAAAAAAAAAAAAAAACTGATATGGATTAAAAACAGAATTTTTTGCAGCATAAAATCACCAAAATTACAGACTCTCTCCATTAAAGAAGTAAAGAGATTAAACCACAGAATAACAGACCACTAATATCCATATAAAGGCATTATGTTAGATTATTACCATGTGGGTGTTTGCATCAGGGCTGTTTGCCAGGTGTTTATCCTATATGTAACGCCTCCAACCCTTGACACCCTTCCAGCAGATTATTACTACTACTATACTAATGTATTATTACTCATACTGTTATTAAAAAGAAACCACTGGCAGCATCGTAGCTGAAAGTTGTGTGGAGGCCATCCCACCGACACCTGGGGGAAAAGTCACCTTGACGTAGTTTCTCCAGAGAAGGTAGAGGTTATTGCCTTAGCCATGTCTTCTCTGAGCGCCGTGTTTTAAGGCTCCTGCAGTATTCAGAATGGCTGATCGTTCCTACAGATACAGCAGTATGTTCAAAGACACACATTAAAGATTAATCCTCAATGATATGAACACGCGTTTCCTGTACACTTCAGAAAGCGAATCGATAGTCAAGATAAACAGTGACGCATTAAGCAAGACATTAATAGTAATAATATCCTCAATGTCTGTACACAGTAAAAAATACACCAGTTTAGCAGAATATACAATATACATTGGCTATGCCCTACCCTGTCAGAAAAAAAAATTCTTTGAAAAATGTTATTCTCTGAGTGTAGCTCAATCTTTATCAGCCCTTAACCGTTTGTACAGTAAAACACGGACACATAAACCCCCCCTCTGGAGTGGAATGGTACGTCCCGCCTGGGGGCGAGGTAAACAGGCAGAACAGAAAAAGAGATATATCAATTATCTTAATGCATCATTTGGGACAGAGTCAGAGCAATCTTAAGAGGTCCCGCCTGGCGTCGGACAGAAATAACAACAGTACCCAGATCCACACACAGTTCAAGAAGAGGAATAAACCTCCTTACGCACAATAAATTGTACAGTCTTTTCATAAATATCAGTAATAGACTAAAAGTTAAGGCCTGGACATGACAACGGCAACATATGAGTTAGATCCTCTTCTTCTTGAAGTAGTCGGCGTACTGGCCCCCAAGACCCTGTGAGTGCTGGCCTACATACGGCCCCTCTGATGTCACTTCCTGTGTCGGCAGTGTGGGGTATTCTCGCTTCTGCCCTCTAGCCTGACTCTAGGAGAGAAAGAAAGAGGTTGATTATAACAGAAGTGATTATAGTGATTAGAATGATTTCACCTGTTTGCTGAGGATGATGTACTTGACTCATTGTTCACTGTATGCTTGAGTTTGAGTGACATACAGTAAATGAGTGACGGGTTTTTTGTGGTCCATACAGTAAATGATTGACGCCGTCTAGCTCCCTCAGCCCACACACACGTCTGAGGAATTTTCTCTGACTCTTGCACTACGATAAAACACCCATTTTTGAATCAGCAAAGCACAGTTAGAGGTCTTCATCTCTCAATGTGTCAGTCTTCTACTTCCAACTGAAGAATAAAGTTACTGCCAGACTCCTACTGGTTTCTTCACCATCAAGCAGAGCACAAACACACACCATATGTATTCACTTGACCTATCTACCCATCTGTCTTTCTATCATTCTAAATAACATTCCATATATCATTCTGTTTGTCTAATATAATTATACTAGTACTATTGCCGGAGAATTTTATATAGGGTTCATAGAAAAAAAAATTCCATTTAAATTTTGCATTTATGAACGTTAAATATCACACTTGCACTATTTTTGACTGAAATGGTGCTTGATATTTCATTGTTTACACTTTTAATGGCCTTGTCAAACTTACCTAAAAAAATGTTCTTGGCACAAAGCACAACAACCCAAACTAATAAATGGTGGTGTTGCAATGGTATTTAATATTTAAGGTCATTACTAGATATTTTGCACTCATAGGTTAGCAGTGATTTCATTTATCATTTCAAAACGTTGTTTGATGGAACACTTTATGGTTAGCAATGATAAATAACTACTAGCATTTTGTGAGGCTGTGATGCATGGAAACACTGCTTTGCCTCTTTTTTGTTAAAAAAAGTTATTTGCTGTATTATTTTTATATTTGCGCGATAAAGTTTAAAATAAGAAATAAAATCATACTGTACGTTATAAAGTTACAAGCAACAGTCGCAACTTGGCATATAAAGTCACACTGTGAGGTATAAAGTCACAACGTGAGATGTAAAGTCATAATATGAAATTCTAAGTCATATTGTGGAATATAAAGTTACAACTGGAAATTATAGTCACATTCAGAGATATTGGAAATATAAAGTTTCAAATACTTACGTCACGATTAGTACCAGTTGTGCTGGTTAGACCCTGCACAGTAGGAGCTAATTTGGTTCTCGAAAAAGGCAGTCCGTAAAATCGCAGCCAGTTCCGGCGGTGCGAAAACGCCAAAAAGTGGGTAGTTCCACAATTAGTTCAAAAGTCACACTGTGAGGTATAAAGTCACAACGTGAGATGTAAAGTCATAATATGAAATTCTAAGTCATATTGTGGAATATAAAGTTACAACTGGAAATTATAGTCACATTCAGAGATATTGGAAATATAAAGTTTCAAATACCTTTTTTTTTTTTTACTCAACTATGGAAGCATTTTTCTGCCTCAATAGGGCCTTTCGCACCGCTTTAGTTTCAGAACTAAATGTACAGTACTAAAGTACTGGGACGATTTTGCGCGAACCATTTCCCAGTACCATTTAAAGGGTTGCATTAGCAT